TTTCAGGATATCGTCATAAAGCATTGTCAGGACAATCACGTAATATGATTGATAAAATTAATGAGACTATTAACAAAATCGGTCAGCAAATTGACTTATAATTATCACTAGTGTTGTTTTTCTTTTATCTTCATTCACTACGGATGATTACAGTATGTTTCTCTATCAGTTGCTCATTCAGTAAATATCTCAAAACCTTGTCAGTCTAATTGGAGGTTTAGCGACACAATCATGCATGCAAATAATCAGTATAAGCAGTCGAGCAAATCTCCTGCAAACTGAAAACATCAATGTCGAATTTACCCCAACACTGACTAAGGTTCAAGCCATTATCATAGACGTGAGTTGGGAGTGTACTCCCCTTGGTTACAACTTGTGTTCTTCCTGATAATCACATGAGCATCACTCACTGTTAATCATCTTGTAAAAGCTTATTTAGCCGAATACATCCCGCGGCACCACATCACTTCGTAATATGACACAGGCCTAACTGATTTTAATAACCTATAACCACTATATCTCAATTTAATCTTATTCCGCCTTATGATAAACTGCATACTTGCAACTAACTTGTATGCCCAATCAGCCAGCAAGTATAAATATAAATAAATAGTCTATTGCAGATCAGAACATTGAGTCCAGAGCATGTCTCTTACGAACACACTCATGTTTAGCGATTTGTTCCTAGCTATCTGTCCAAAATTCATATAATTATCACTCACGTATTTAAATTTTATTTTGATAACCATTCATGTGTATTGGTAGTATTACTAAATTCTATCACGGTCAAGTAAAAATGAAGTTGAGAAAATCTCCCCGTAACTAAATAAACCGTATCAAACTAACTGGAACACTAGTTGGGATTCTTTTCCATGGTAATACTTTTGTTCTCCCAGTTAGCCTACTAATACAGATGCAATTGGAAATCACATATGGACGGGTTACCGGCATAATTGTTAATTGGTTTCATAATTTAAACCAAAACTAATACCAATATTAACATTTCTACAATATTCATTACTTTATTTCTAAACACAAAATACTTACTACCTATACGTCAAGTTATTAACCAACGGCTATTAACACGCATTGTTTTATTATTATTACTGTAATCCCATTTTTTTTATAGCTCAAATAATCTTCACCCAAATTGTCATTTTAAGTGTGTTAAGCATGAAGGCAGATTTTTTTAAAAAAAAAATTATTACATGTATTTCCCGACCAGATGCTGCCGCCTTCTTTTTGAATTATCTTTCAGCTTATCATTACCCGGGGGATTCTTCCTAGTCTTGGTAACCTTCGGCGCACGACGATCCCATCCAATTTGGTATCGAACCAACATCACGTTGATTCTGGTGGGAGAGTAGTGTAGTGGCATTGGACAATAGCCACACAATCCACAAAGCTGTGAACACGAGACTACTCAGAAAATAGATATTCAATTTTTAACGCGGAGAAATACCTAACAATGGAGAAGGTGCGAACAATGAATTGAATGGACTGGAGTTGATCGAGTGGCATGGCTCGGCCATGCAGGCGTGGTCTCTATTCATATTAAATATATTGTTCCTTCTCTAACCTAACCTTGTTCTTCATCATGTATTGGTAATTGATACGATACAGTGAGTTGGCGTAGTCGATGGTGTGACTTCCACGTAAGATCTTATAGATTAGGCAGTTATATCATGACGAATCTACAAAATTTAGGATTAGGTCTATTATTAGAGCAGTACTAATATCATAGTAGACCATAGTTCCACATATTTGTACAGGGAAACGTGGTAACGAATCTTAAAGTAGTTGATGATAATTTTAATTCCGATGATTCTCCAGTCAATCCTATTTATGTACATAACTCTAAACTATAGATAGATAGTTCTCATTCTAATTCTGATGGTTTACTTATTATTAATTATGTTTTGATTGATTCCAAACGACTACACAAGCGATCTGAGGATCTCATTTTCATATTTAGATTAAACTCACTTAGACCTGTGAAATTCGAGTCGCCCTACCTGAGAACAGATCATCAGTTAGATCAATACTCACTTCGGAGTTACCTGAAAAATGAAACCCACTGTTTTGAGGTCATGATTTAAAGCGGCATCCAAGATGTTTTATCCCAAGATTCCTGTCAAAACATTTCCATGTGATGTAACGGATGTAATTCTTTCTTGCATTTATTACGAAAAAACCTTAATAAGACTAATCATGTTATATCAGAACAGGGATTCACGATTTAAATAGAGAATCAAATAAATACTACACAATACTTGACTGAAAGCAATCACATTCAGTGAGTTCGTAGTAGAAATCAATCACAAGAAAGGAAATCACACATTTAATAGTACGTGTGCTCTGTGTTTGTCCACGTTAAACGACGACCACCACACAATATGATAAACCGTTCCACAACTAGCCGTTCTCCTCATTATCTATAAAAGTAGTTCAAATTATTTCATACGTTTTACTCCCACCTTCTTTTCCGAAACCACTGCTTCTCCTGTGGATATAAAGTTCTTGTTGTTTCTTTCAATAAAATTGATATGGATTTACGAGTGTAATGGTTGGTGAAATCCGAGATGAGAATATGACTGTCAGTGTTTGTCATGACGCTCGGTTTTACTTCGTCTAATGTTATAACGGTTGGGTTTCCACGCTTACACGTATGGGACGTTAATTTACCTTAAACCATTATCTACACTAGATTCCCGCCCAGTGTCTGTTCTACAGGACTTCAACACAACTCAGATCAAGAACACATGATTAGCCTGACCACAACGTAAATATATTTCCACACCAAAAGCCCGACACAATCTAACAACAATGAACAATCAATAATGATTCCCAATAATAATAAGGATAGGGGAATATTTAACTCATCTGACACCTGTCAGACTATCTACATGTCTGACTAAGCAGACAACCAATCATTATCATTCTCGCCCACACATCAGTGTTCCGCGTCTGTCAATACTTAACAGGTTATTTACTATCATTAAGTGAAATGAAGGGGATCAGACCATCCCAAGTCACTCAGTTCATGTTCAGGACGGAACATTATCCATTGATATTCTTCTGTGAAATAGGTATGATGGCTCGACTAGTATGACCTGAATTGATAATACGTGGTTATTTTTCAAAAAGTCAGAATCCCATATATTAAATCAAAAGTTGTGTCAAGACACATGACTGAATTGCAACTACTTTTGTTACGTTAACCAACCACTGTAGTCTGAAATTTCAAAATAATCCGTCAATTTGCCAACTAATGTAAAGTGGACCAATCTTCTCAAGTCGATCCACATTCACCTTATTTAGAAACATATTTCCCAAGGGGCTAAGTAGAAACACTATCATATTGTCTTAGAAATCAAATTTAGGTATATGTTTTGCAGAAAAAATCTGAAACACAAGACTTAACAGATATAAACGATACATCGCACAGGTTCTTCTTGTCTCTCTTACACAAGTTGAACCATTAGTTAGCTTCTTTCGGGAGCATAAACAAGTAGCAAACCCAAATTTTTTTAAACTAACACTTCCTCAGATCATCTCAAATTCACTTTTGAAATGAACTTTATGGACTATCATGTTAAAACCGAAGTTTTGAACTAACCATCCATCGCAAGTTGTCACTCGAATAATTACTTTAATTTCAGCTTAGCACACCCACTTAATGCAAAAATTTCTTCAGATGAGGCACTATAATCGTAACATCAGCTGAGAAGAAAAACAACTAGCACACTCCAGGCAAATTACTTTATCCTGAATATTACTAAACAAAGTACATAACTACTAAATTACTGACCGATCATCAAAATATTGTTAGTCCCTTCTCTTTTTTTATATATAATGCAACGTAGCACCTGGTTGATTTTCGAATAACTACTCTAATTATTATTAATCCTCTTTCTTTCAATTACTCAATATTAATGTATAATCGATATGTCATTATATAATTATTACGTAACGTATCTACTCGATAATTATTTCATTATTGTAAAACGCATAATAATAAATTGAATGGAATATCACGGGTTGGTACTACAGTTCTACCATACCTTTATGGCACAACAGACGAGCCATAACGAATCCTTAATCCCAAAAAATAAAAGCATCCTATAAAACAACCAACACTTCGAAGTGCTTTAGTGGAAATAAAAGTTAAAATCCCTACCATTTCGACACAGCGTTACGGATTCTATATTGCAGTCTTGATGTGAAATCATGACTTATGCGAGAGAACATCTAAGCTACACAAGGAGAACTCCAGGTAACCCTTTAGAACCGTAAAATCAACAAAACAAATAAGCAATAGCAGTAAATGCCCTTCTATCAACCATAAAATCCTTATTTATGCCAAATTAATCCGAATATGATTTTCCGTTTATACAAAAAAACCAGTGGCTGGTTTTTGTATTGCTAAAACTTACAGCACTTGATAGAAAGGAAGGTTTAATGATCTACTTGATATGGACCATTTACACAATGTCCATACAAATTTCATCCTGTTCACATCTCATACAACTAACAAACATACAAATATCTTTCACATCATTCTTCCAGATTATAATAATTGCATTTGACAAATCCAACAACAGATACAAATAAGTCTCAGACAAAAAACCATTTTGGCCAAATTGTCATGTCATTAACATCATCAGGCAAATCTTAATTTCGATCACACCAAAAATAGTCAACTTCGTATTATTTTTCATTCTCTGAAGAAGGAGCTTACACAATAAACAGTTATTAAAGCAAAATCATAAAAGTCATAAGATTGTTCATGATTGACTCGATCAGAAAACAAAAAGATACTAATAACAACAACAATAAAAAATGAAGTGATAATAACACAATAAGAATTGTTTTGAAGGAACTACATAACAAAATGAAAGATAAATGTTTTTAAAAAAGTCGAAAGACACGCTTAGTTTCTATTGTTTCACTGTTGTTTTCCTTCTATTTTCTGACAATATCTTATTCCGCCGAAATACCCAAACTAATACGTACACTTCGAAGTGCTAGACTATTGAAACGCGCTTTATCTTCACGCCATGTTTTTGCTGCATCCACATTAGCCGCACTCTCATCATTCGGTTCTAAAAAGTAATAATTAGTTTTAGAAAAAAAAACGAAGAATGAGGATCGTTTTTAGCCAAGTTATGATGTGAATTATTTACTAAGTATACTCTTTACAAAGGTGATGAGGCTAGTGACACAATTTAACTGCTTGGACTAACCCCAGTAAAGAGTTTGGACCTTTGGTCTGTTAGTCAAAACGCGCGTCCTTGAACGATGAAGACGAGAAAAATAACTTGCCATTGTTAGGTCATAGGTCTGAACCGCATCGAGCAGCATCACTACCTCATATACTAAAATGAATAGTGTCTTAAAGCTGAACTCATAAACCTGTACTAGGAAAACCAGTTACGATAATTACTGGAAAATTGCATAGCGAACTGATAATCGTTAGGTGCGAAAATCCATTAGTTCCTATGAAACCGATTTGTAACTAATGAAAATTGCAATGTAAATTCGAGCTCAAGATACTAAAACTAACTTGAAATTGTTATCATCATTCTTTAAGCCTTGGAAATCAGCGCCGTTATCTTCAATTAAACGAAGAAAACCTTTATTATCAATAACCTTGTCTTAGGTTTCATAATAATGAAAAGTTGAACAGTAGTGCCGCAATAACTCAATTACCTAATCTAGTCAGTAATCAACTGCGAATGTGGTAACAAGGGGTTCACAAACTTTTATTTCTTTTTGATCTAACCGAATTTTCAAGAAACCTGTTTTGACCAAATCTAACCCTCAACGATTACGCAAGTATATATCCATTGATGTTAATGATCATATTACCACTCCGCAGTTGGACACTGCATCCGATATTACTTTGATTTCTCGAAAAACTTGGCACAAACTTGGTCGGCCAAGCATTCATCTTACTACTGGCTGCATAAAGAATGTATCGGGTATTTCAATTCACATCTCTGGAATTATCAAATGTACTGTCAAATCTAATGATCTAATAATCAAATCCACATGTTATGTAAGTGATGAACACTTCAATCTATTGGGACTTGACCAGATCACATAATTAAAAATGTTCGATCACCCATTTAATCTTATTTGTAATCCATTTTTAAAGATGTTCGACAGGTCATCTAACATTATTTGCAACCAAATATCTTCATCTCATATGATGCACAAATGGTGACAGAAATTTCCTTATGATATTCAGAATGATTACAAGGTGATGGTGTAGTGAGTGCTACTTATATTGATATAAGTAGTATATTATGCGAGTCAGGAATGTAAGGTCTGGCAGCAGAAGATGGGGAAAGATCAAGAAAGCAAGAGCGGGAATAAAATGCAATTTGTATGAAAACGCAAGGACAATGAAGTCTGAAGCATTTTGAAACAATTGGTGGACATTTTGCAAATTAACGATTTGATATATGGTTCTCAGATCTTATTGAGATGCTCTGTAATTTTGTGTTAAATACATCCGATTGTCCCCACCCGTGTTCTTGTTCACTACAATGGTACGACCGAGAGAATCGCCATCAATAACCCTCAATCCAGCCTCACCTAAGGTTTTTCTCCTGTTGAGTCAATGTTCGGAAGGAAGATTCGGAATTAATTTGATATAATGTACCCACAAAAAAGAAGACCAGATTTTAGATCCACGGTGAAGAGAATTGAACGTCAGTCTCTTAATGTGTTACCAGTGTACATAAGGAACTTTCAACAATGGGGACCTACGTGGATAGCCAGTGTCATCGTAAGACGAGTCGGTGACGTGATGTACGCAATATGTAAACCACATCCGAGATAGACGATTAAATCCGAAAAACAATCCCCTTGCTCGAACTTGTGACTGGATTATTTAATTGATACGGTTGGTCTGGAGCGGCAAGATCAGCGCAGAAGAATTGATATCCAGACCCCAAGAAGATTATCAGGACGACATTTACTTCAACGCCTTCAATTAAATCCCATGACTTATGTTTCAGGAGGGAAAGGTGATATGGTAAGCCAATAAGAAGTAGCCTAATGAGGTCAAAAGATGACAATCAGAAGTGACTTAAAGGTCAAGTGCATTTTATTGACTCAGAAATGAATCAATTTTCTAAGAGTTAGAGTGGCATATATGTAAATGAGTATCTGTGCACTTTATTGGACAGCCCAATATACTTCTTTGCTCACTCTTGTGTTCTCGCTCAAGTAGTTGGTTAATGGGTTAGCGCGTAGCACACTGTGTATCAGTGTCAGTATTTGGACACTGCCCGTCACGACAATATTGTTTTTCTAAAAAATGTAGGAATCACTAGTAGAAATAAGCGCTAATCACTTAAAGCCTATCCAGTTGAAAGTTGCAATACAAACAAGATTAACTCTTAAGTGAAGAGTTAGACCGTGGTAAAATAGAAGTGTAGGACACAATGTATTCTATAACATGAACTAGACCAATTTGAAAAAATATTTTCATAACCTACAATTGACCTTTTAATTGGAAGCATGTAAAACACTGTTTCGACTGAGCATGACACAAATCTACGATAATCAAATACGAAAATTAATTTTATTGTATTCACCACTAATTGATCCGTATGAAGTAATTTTTTGTAGAACGACCACTACTAACAGGATTAATAACATACTACCACGCCAGTAGCTTTTCAAGTGCTTATGTCGTTCCCAAAACCGGGTAAAGGAGGAGGGTTGTACATGGGGTCAGTAACCACAATCCCGTAGAAAACAACATTACTAAAACAAAGCTGACCGAAAATAAACAATTTAAAACATTTAAATTTCATTTAGAAAAACTAAGATACTTCGTGGTGAAAGCCAATATTCCTCGGAAGTCAAGAGAGCTATAACCCTCCTAACAACCACAGCAACAACTAATATACGAACATGCAATATCCACACAATGTGAGAGACCTGGATGACCGACCAAACAGCTACAGAAACGAGCAGATACAACTTGACCGTGCTACGAATAAGCGAAATCCATTAAATCCAAGCTCGACAGAAAAGGTTACACATTCGAGAGAAATGCTGCTGTATTTTGACCACGAAGAAGAAAATGCGCAGCACACTCACGGAGTCGCTCTGATCCTGCCCAAACGAGTACGTAAAGCCTTTATAGGATGGGAATCTCATAGACGCAGAATCATCATAGCATTTTTTAAAACAAAGGAGGGAATCACAATGAGTGTTATCCAGTGTTATGCACTCAACAATAATAGCAACACACCCAATAAACGTAGGTTTTATGAGAGGCTGCAATCGATCATAGCGAAGTGCTCAGATGAAGACCTAAAAACCCTCATACGAGATCTAAACGTCAAAGTCGAAATGGACAACAAAAGGTATCAAGATATCATGAGACGACATGAACAGACTGGGAAAAAGAAACTAGAATGGTGAGAGATTCGCAAATTGTGCGTTCAACAAAGTGGTTATAGGTGGTACAATATTTTCACACAAATGCATACACAGAGCTACATAGGTCCCACCAAATCACACTACACGGAATCAGATCGATCATATTTGCATCAATAAAAAATTCACAAGGTCAATGGAAGACGTGAGAACCAGGAGGGGAGCTGATATAGATACATGTCACCAAAAAACACTAGACAACGAGGAAAACAGCACTATAAAGGTTCAACAAAGCCTTCTTTCGACACATTGACAAACTACCCAACCAATTCAAGACAACTCTCAACAACACGTTTCAAGCCTTACAAGATCAACTCAAGGAAGAAGAAACTATTACGGAGGGAAATTGCAAACGGACCACAGAAGCACTAGCTTCAACATGTCAGGAGGTTCCGGGCCGCAAGAAGCATCATCATATGGAATGCATCTCTATCGAAACCCTGCACAAGATTCAAGAAAAGAACAAGAAGACAGCAATTAACAACAGCAGAACAACGACAGAGAAAACAACGGCACAAGCTGATTACACAGAAGCAAATAAACAAGTAAAGTGGAGCCTAAGAGCAGACAAACGGAAATACACCGAATAACTATCAACAACAGTGGAAAAAGCTGCAACAGAAAAATATCAACCAACTATATGGTACAACGAAGAAAATGGCAAGAAAATATTGTAAACCAGAAAGACAGGTCAACGACAAACAAGACAAACCAATCACTGAAATTTAAGAACAAAGGGAGAGATGGGTGGAACACTGAAGGACTCTTGAATAAGCCAGCTCCCTTGAATACATTGGATATCGAATCGGCAAACAGACTTATTATGGATGTCACTTCACCAATGATAAACCTAGAAAAGGGTAAGCAACAGCACCTGACAACATAACAGCCGAAGCACTCAAGTCATACATACAAGCAACTGCAAACATGATCCACATTCTATTCAGGAAGATTTGGGAAAAGGAACAAGTCCCGTCACACGGGAAACAAAGATACCTCGTCAAGATACCAAAGAAAGGAAACCTGAGCAAATTTATAAACTACGGAGGCAACACATTACTATCTGTACAAGTAAAACTTTATAACAGAGTGTTTCTGTATCGGATGAAAAATTCAGTAGACGCTCATCTTCGAGTTAAACAGGCTGGATTCCGTAAGCATCGGTCGCGCACAGACTGAATAGTGACACTATGGATCGTTGTTGAGCAATCAGTTGAAAAAACGCATCGCTATACAGCACATTCCTTGTCCATGAGGTGTTTGACAAAGTGGGAAGAACAATATGGAACCTTGTTCGACATTACGGTGTAAATCATCCGAAATTCATACGGCGGACTACACAAAGGAAAAGCCAAGGTCCTCAAATACAACACGAAGAACACCGATCCAATCACACTTTCTAGAGACGTTCTGAAAGGGGTGGAAACTTTCATGTACTCGGACAGAATCATCGATGAACAAGTAGGATCCGATGCAGACGTAAAGGCGAGGATTGACAAATTAAGGACAGCATTCCTACAGTTGAAGAACATATAGAACTCAAAACAACTGTCTGTCAACCTACATCAAAGTCACAATCTTTAATATGAACCTCAAGAAAGTTCTACTATACGGAGCTAAAACTTGGAGAATCATCACAAACATAATCAAAAAAGTACAAGTATTTATAAACAATTGTGTATACAAGATACTCAATGCCCGTTGACTGGATACCATCAGCAACAGCCTACTGTGGAAGAGAGCGAACCAGCTTCCAGTCGAAGAAATTAGGAAAAGAAGTTGGAAGTGGATAGGACATAAATTTCAAAAATCATCAAACTGCATCACGATGCAAGTGCTAATTTGGAATACTGAAGGGGAAAGGAAAAGAGGAAGATCAAGTAACACACTCAGTCGGGAATAAGAAAACAGACCTCAAAAAAGTCAATAGCAACTAGAAAGGATTGCTCAGGACAGTGTTAGATGGAGAATGCTGATGGGCGGCCTATGCCCACTCAACGAGCAGTAACAGGAGTGAGTAAGGTGGCCATCAGTGTTACAAACAACTAGTTAAACTTTTAAACGGGGATTACCGGGTTTCAAACTTTATGGTCTAAAGATTGAGATCATAAGTCAACTAAAGATAGACCACCATGGGAAACCTGGAACCACTGGACAGCCGTTTCGTCCTATTGTGAGACTCCTTAGCATTGCGCATCCACGGTCCCTCACTGCTGAGGAGCCCCACAACAGGACGAAATGGCCTTCCAGTGCTTCCAGGTTTTCCATGGTGGTCTAGATTCAATTGACTCATGATCTCAACTATTGAACTTAATTTTTAGCCGAATCCTAGTCCCCCTAAGGGATTTTTCTACGCTTTAGCCTCAAACAGACGACAAAAGGCAGGAAATATGAAAACAAAATTTGCTTTCAGAGTTAACTTAGGCATAGAATGTATGGCTCTAGAATTTTAGAAGCTTCCAGAAATATGGATAAATTATTATGGAAACCACTAACTGTTGAATCAAGATATGAAACACAACACGTCGTCTTTTTATTACTCTGAAGGTTCTAATCAGCACTGGTTAGACGAAGTATTTTTACTCTTCTCCTAGTTCCTGAAGAGTTCTCTGAATTCTTAAGAGCTCGCAACAAATAAATCAGATAGTTGGATGCTTAAACTAAATACAACTAACCAATCCTTTCTGATTTTTAATGATTGCCAAACTGATGTTAATCCATGAAATAAAGTACTTTCATTATGAACTGAATTTCAATGACCCTCCCTCCCCCGAAAAAAGAAAAACGATTCAATAAAGTTCTTATTATATAGACTACCAAATATTAACTTATAAGAAACTGTAAATATGATAGGGGTAAGAATTAAGTCTCAATTTCATAAACACGAACGAATAATCTACAGAATTTTTATTTCTGCACTCCTTTCCCGACCGCCGATTGTTTAATGATTCCAATGACTGCTCACTATTTATAATCTCATGTATTCACTACTTTGTATGGCAGTATATCATTTTACTAAATTAAACAAAAACCTATTGAGCTAGCTAGCTTTCTTTTGATGACAATTCATTTAATGAGAGGGTTGGGTTGAGTTACGTCGATTATTTGATCTCATAAACAGTTGTTTGTTGTCAGTATGACTACCACTGATATTTTCCAGTATTATCTACTAATTATTAAACACTGGTATTCAATGGATTATCATTTTAACAAACTTAAAATGTAATCACAATGGAAAATGCTTCTTTCTCCTACGTATCAAGTTACCGATGATGACAATTTAGAATAGTGAGATAAAAACTTTGTGATTAAAATGATTCCGACTCGGTGGTCCAGAGGTTAAGTGTTCGCGCGAGACCGGAGGTCGTGGGTTCGATCCCCGAATTCAGAGTTACGGATGCGCACTGCTGAGGCGTGCCACAATAGGACGAGACGGCCGTCCAGTGCTTCCAAGATTTGAATAACGATCTAACATTGGTCGGTTTGTGATTTTAATAAAATGAGATAGTTATTTAGCCGGACTCTATGGTTTTTGAGTAGTTTTCTAAACAGGACAATGATTTCCTGAAAAAAACAAATAATTTAAAAACTAGATTTAATTCATCTTAATCATTAAAATCAATTACCTGCAAGCATACTAACAACAGATAATAAAATTTTTTCGACTGATTGAACTGGACTCCAACGTTCAACGGAACTTTCATAACCCATTGGATCATCACCAGGAGCATGAAGTATGGAAATGCACACGCGTCCATCTGGATAGACTACATAGTAAGAGAGGAGATTGAAAAAGAAATGCTCACATACGGTACACAAAACATACTAAGAATGGAGTTGTTAACCAATACTTAATTTACGTTCATTTTCTTTGTTTGTTGTATGATAATGAGATGCTGATAACGAGGGATGAACACAATTGGATTTCAGACCAGATATGAAATATTGTCATTTGATAAATCTTCGTAATGACGTAACTGTTATATACGGGGGTTTGGTTCCAATATGATCATATGATTACTGTTCAGTCATTCATAAACAACGTAGAGCTTGACATATATATATTCGTTTATGTTGATGCACTTCATCACCATAGCCAAATAAATTGGCAAGACAAATGTCAGCATAGTGGAAGCAATAACAGTATCAAAATGGGGTGGAAAACACTAGGCATAATCAATATGATTCGAAAAGCAAGAATGAATCTGTGAAATAAAAAGTACAAAGTTGTTTTGAGAGGGAAGATAAATAGTGAGCACATTTGTGCCATAATAAAAAATGCTGAGATATATCACTCAACCAATCCAATTATTGGTTACGATAGTCGCAAGTATTCTAGCCAATTAGTCTACACCTGCATACATGGTTCAGATCGACAGCCAACAACTGAGTGGATTGATTAAATATCTTGTTTTGATTACTTGTTTCATTCCAACCTCCCACACCAGTGGTAAACATCACGCGTCGAAATAGGCGGTTTCCGAGCATACATAACATGTATCTTAACCACGATTACTGTTCAGAGGAAGAAATTCTTGATCCCAACCCGTTTCAAAATAGGTTAATATCAAAAGACTAGAATAACTGGCCAGTAAATAAGCCCATTTCTTTCAAATAAACTGTTACACTTTACAGGAAACATTAATAAGAATGAACATTATATTTGGGCGATTCCAAGAGTATAATAATATAAGACAGGGACTTTGGAATAAAACGAAGACTACTATTTTCCCTAATTTTTGTTCTTCAGATTCAATATAATAAAACTGAAATTAAACACACTATATTCAAAATGTCATTGAGTCGAGCGTGAAAAACTGTTTTCAAATAAGTTATTCATCACTGATTATAGATGATTATGTGATTACAGATGGCTGAGGTCATCTGCAACATTTCCGACGTCCAGTATAAGTGTGCTGCACCCATCATCTTCGGTAACTTATCCGTTCGTTTAGTAGATGGGTCATAAGTATCAGAGAGTAATTTACACCAAAGATATGCTTTTAAGCGTTCAGATTTATCCGTAACTCTCTGCTATGAATGTCAGCCAATCGCGAAGTGATATTCCTGATGAAAAAACATAACATAAAAGAGTGAGTATAATTTATGGACGAACCAGTCAGACATAAGGCAACGGGTATTAGACTTTGGCGTGAAATTCATTCACCTATTCAGCTGAATAGCGTTTTGGCATTTTAGTTTATGTCAGTCCGTGATGAAAACCCTAAATCTAATTCCTAACCATAACCATCAACTGTAAATCACAATTCCAATTCCTCACATTGGTTTGTAACCCTCATTTAGTCCTGGTTTTATTATTTTATTTACTTATTTAAACACATAAACATTGGTACAAGGAGGCACCAAATACATATGCGCCACATAAATCATTCGATTTGTGTGAGTGCTGGGATACTGCCCAGGTGCCCAGACCGAAGCAGGTGGTTTTCTTAGGAGGCCACACCCCGAGCCTTGGACCTAAAAGTCCGACTCACAAGGCAATGGGGCATCGTGTGGAGATGCAGTCTCATGGTAGCCGGTGACCAACGATTGGTCCATGCGCCATTTGCTCCCGCAGGATACTGGAGACCATGTGCACCATTGGTTTAGGGTCCGGTTAAAGAGCCGGACATTCGCTTTTCGTCCTCTCAATTTCGTAAACAACACGCCCGCCACGAGAAGGAAGTGAGTAGGACTTCCCTGACAGAAGCGGTAATGAAAAAGTATACTCTAATGTGTAGCAATTACCCTTTAAATGAATAGCAAAAAGTGGCAAAATAGCTGGGTACAACAACCTTATTGAACATTGAAAATGTTGTGGATAACCTCAGCCCTACAAACGACTCCGCAGCAACCTAAACGATGTAATTTTATTTAAAACATGATGGTGACTAGTTGTTAGATGTAGGATGTGTTTCTTTCTATTCAGTACCCGTCAGCTGGATAGGCTTGCAATTCAAGGTTGACATTTACACTGAGACTAAATGTTTATGTTCAGCCATATTTAGGCCAATAGAAGTGATAAGCTGATGTTCAGAAAGCAACTAGATGTGGCAAATCGATATTTATCCACATGAATCCAAACAGGGATGTCCCTAATGTCATAATTGAGTCCCAATGGGAATTGCTTCCTAGCAGGAAGCGTGATAATCGAAGTTCACTAGTTTATTTCCATAGTACGGCAGATATATTACTTGGAACGTTCTTGTTTGGATTCATCTGAATAAATATCAATCAATCACTTACACCTGTGTTCTAAATATGGGCGTGTCACATACTTTGGCCTAGATATCCCCGAAAATATTTGATAACATTGCTTCAAACGTCAGTTTTATCCACTATGAGAATCACTAACTTGTTCAATTAGACATGTTTGTTATTAAATGGAAAGTTAACAAGCTATTTAACTTTGAGTGTAGTAATGACTTAGGCATCCATCTATCAAGAAGTGTATGTTACAGTAAATATTTGTCCATTCTAGTCTATGAGTGTCAACAATGGGGAAAGATCAGTAGTTAATAGTTAATGATAACTTGAGCGATTATATGAATTTTCTTTACACACTATCGGATAGACAGTAAAATCAAACGAAAAATGATCAAGTATCGGTATATATATATATATATATATATATATATATATATATATATATATATATATATATATATATATATATATATATATAGTAGTAGTAAGACAACCCGTCCAATTTCAATGATGGAAAATTGTTGAAACTTAACAGTTAAACTTCACTAGACATAAATTCACATTTGCACTTTTAGAATCCATCTCAAAACTAGACGCTAGTGATTACGTTATTACTATTATTATTATCACAACAGAAGTCTTTCTAATATGCCATTACGCCACCTCAACCTGAAATCCACTGGTCAAATTTTTTCAACCTAGACATATTTGTGATAAAAACTAGTTTCAGCATTATTATTATCCTAAGTATCTATTTCTCTGATTGAAACCAAGAGGTTGGATTTATCGAGATTTAAACTTCGTGGTAACTTATGTGACTTCCGGCTTTCCGTAACATTATGAATTTTTTCTCAGACGGGTTGGAGGAAAGTCAATGATAGCACGATTATCAGCTAGTGATGATGGAAGGACATTTTCGTGGTGCTGTTTTCCATGAGTTATATAGTTTAATTGCAAGGATTTCATTGTAACTCTGAACAATATCATTAGAGCTTACTACTTGTGACACAAGGTATCACTGCTATCAATGCATGCAGAGAACCACGGGCACGAATTCAATTAGGAAAACATCAAACTTCTAGGTGCAGGAAATTCTAAGGGTCTCATAGAGTTTCGAAAGGCGTGAGATTCGAATTAATCGGCGATCAAGAGACACATCATCATAGACTAAATCTACCAATCCACAGGGAAAAGATCAATCGACCACATAGTCAAAGGTTGACCGAACAAAGAAATCAACAGGAACACAAAAACAAATGAAGACAACGAGAATTACAAAGACCATCAACAACAAACAAATTCATAAGAACGAAGTGGTTTGAAACTTATGGAATAATTGTGAAGCTTAATTCTGCATGACGTAAGCGTTGATAACGTTGTTCAGAACGACGATGTGATTCCAAGTTATCCAGCTCAAGAAATGCAACACTACCAAAACCGGTTAAATTATCTTCTTTACATGTAGACATAAAGTAAATAAAAACTGAATATACTTACTATTTGGATGGAACACTTCAGTTAGAAATTGCATTTTTGGTGGAGACAAAGGGTAATCTGATGGGAAGTTCAAACGTACAGCAAAAACACCACCTTCAAATGGAGTACCCTCTGGTCCACTATAATATATCACATACGGAATAGAATGAAAAACTATAAAAAACTAGGAAGTTCAATAAGTAATAAGTAACTTTTACAAAGAAAACTGTCAAAAATATACATATGTACTTTTAAGTACGACTCATAAGTGAACAATTATTGAATTTAAATTTGATAATTCAGTTAACATAATAATAATAATAATAATAATGAGTCATATTTTAACCGATTAATTACAGATTTACGTACTCAGCTTAATTTTAAACTGTTGATGACACTATTTTTAGCTTCCCTACCCAAAGTACTTGGATCAAGGTTTGGACTTATGACCTATTAGTGGAGGGTCAAGTCACTTAGTCACTAAGCCATCAACTTCATATTTAATAAGAAAAAGAGAATTCAGCGAAGAAAATCTTCTTTTCGACGAAATGATACAGCGAGGACCATAAGAAGTCCATAACTAATTTATAACAGAACGAATGCGTAAGGTGCACTGAACTTGTGTACTGATGACTTAAATATTCAACAATAAAAAGTTAAATGAATTTTTAGCTATTTCGCTACAATTACTTAGAACTGGACACTCAGTACCACATAGTTTTTATCAAAATGTAGTTACCAAATGCTATTACATTAATTTAAGTATCAATTAACTCACGCAATTAATGCTTCCCACTCAAAAAAATTCCTTTCATCCACTGGTCCAGCAACAATCCCCTCTGGTGGATTGACTGTTAATTCTAAAACGGAGGTGCGAGTAATATAAATCAGAACGTGAGATAATATGATGTAATTAATTTACCAAGTATAGGTTTATTTATTAAGTTTCGAGTCACATTTCAGGCGTGATTATTGACACTAATGGGCTGCCTAAGTCGAAGTAGGTGACATATGGTGCAAACCTGAAATATATGGGCTAAAATAACAGTAATTTAACCACTAACTTGATGTTTCACAGACTTCATCATACGAGATCATTTTAAATGCATAGTCGTATCTACTTTTTAAGAGAGAATTTTATTTACATGATGATACCGACTTAAACTTTCACAACACCTATCAAATCGCAGTTAGTCCTACACAATGTCGAACATATCTGATTCGGACAAAACAAGTTGGTAACAATATATGGGGTGGAGAATAAGTATTACCGATTTTTTTTGAGGACGTACTTCACGAAATGTAAAAGATTAGACATGTTTATAGGTAATTATTATTGACGACCAGCAACTCATGTTCTTCACATGCTACATTTGGGTAGTGAATAGAGCAATTAGAAGCAATTACAGCGATTGAGAGCCACTAAGACAGATTCATGAAAAGCTTGCTTCAGAAGCGCACAGTATATGCCTAAGATATGTGTAAGGTGGATCATATATGATCCACCTCTTTTATATAAGAGAGCTGAGAACCAGCTTTCGACAATAATAATAATAAAGGCACAAAAACCAAGATTACATCTTCGCTTGTTTAGAGTGAAAGACGAATGTGAGGACTACAATTTGACTTAATGGGGCACCAGTTAGATAATATAGGTCATACAACTAAAGATGTTCTGTTGGTCCTCCAAAATGTAAACATGACATGGCTTGTTTTAAGCTAGTCCAACAAAATTATAGCGATTGAAAATTTGAGAATATTAGTAATTAACTGGAACGCACGTTTGTACTCTGCCATGAGTCTTTTCAAAGCATTGCCTGCCATCCTAAAGCAACGTGTAGGCAGAATGTAGCGCCAACAAAATGCACTTTCAATATCCTTGTAACGATAGACTTACTGAGCACTAACACATCCCTCATGGTGCTATGGCAGAAAAACTTGGAAACTCACTAGAAAGTCAAAATTCTGGTGCTTTACTTGTTAAGTAACATTGAGAGTAGTTTTAAATGGCCATCAGATATATTGTTCTTCCTTTCTACAAGGAGAGTGCAGTCTTTACGCACACGTAGATGTTTAACTAAATCACCCTAATTACATTTTGGATAGTGACTTCAGACCAGTTTAAAGGCTTGTGCTGTGATATGGTAGAAAACAGAAGTTCTAATGTCCAGTGGTCTTTGATGAAACGGAGGATGCTGATTGTTGTGATCTGGGCTACCTATGCCTGCCATCTAGATATTTCAACGAGTGCGTTTCTGAAAAGTGTACAACCTTTCGCTGTCAAAGTTGCAAGAAGCTCAATAAGAGATATTGTGGTCGCTGGCAATATGCAACGAAAAGTATATACACTATTCAAATGTTCATTTACTGGACTGCTAACATCTAACTGGAGATCACTCAATATTTATCGGCAGAATTGACCAAGAGTTATGGAACGGAAACTTCTTGAAATGCTTTGTGCCGAGAATTCTATATTGTATCAAAAATATAATATTGACTAAAGCCGATAGTAATAAGCATTCTTACTTTTAGGTAGCGGTCTATTTTAACGAGATACTCAAAAATTCGATTGTTTACTATGCTATCGATGAGATACAATGTAATGACCTTCTACACCATGCAGGAAAGCCTAATATGGTAGCTGATGATCGTGCGATAAATATGCTTGTCTTAAATGGAGTAGAATTATCATGTGTACTTATTCAAGGCGTTGAATACTTCTGATAAAACATCCGACTGTATCTCAATCAGGTATCTGGGATTATATATATGCACATGGAAGTACTTTTATTCATAAATAAACATTGGTTTAATTGAGATGATAATAATCGAAAACAGAGTTGATACATGGTTATATCAATCAAGTGTAAGATTTTGTTGCTTCTGCTTCGACAAACCGAAGAGACGCTGTGTTTCTTCTCTCCTAATGAAGTTCAAAGCTTATGGAATGCCAGTAGTATACTTATTTAGAGACCTACGTCTGTCACCCCTTGTGGCCGAGCACAGCCCGCTCACCAGGATTTCTGAGCAAACTCTCCCAGGCAATCCTTTCAGTGTTGCTCCTTGTAGCTACTCATTCTTTTCGTCTGTGCACCGATTCCCGACTCAAAATGTTCGGTGGTCTTCTAGTGGCTTGCCTCCATAATAATTCCTTAGGCTTCGTGTATCAATCACTCTGATAACTATCATTAAATAAATGTTAACGGTGTATGAGTTCAGAAAGCAATACGAAGCGCCGACTATATTTTATCACTAAATAGCGCGCAAGCAGGCAATTACATACGAAGAGTCAGAGTCAAATAGAATCGAAGCGAAGAAACTATTAAGATATATATATATATATATGAGAAAGTGAATGATAAGTTCAATAGTTGAGATCATGAGTCGATTGAATCTAGACCACCATGGAAAACCTGGAAGCACTGGAAGGCCATTTCGTCCTATCGTGGTACTTCTCAATAGTGCGCATCCACGATCCCACCTCGTGAAATTTGAACCCGAGACCTATCGATCTCGTGCGCGGACGCTTAACATCTAGGTCAACTAGTCCATGAAATTGAGCAACATACCCACCATTGTCTTCAGTAAGTTACTATCTGACAACAGACCCAGTTGAACTTCACTGGTCACTGCGTCTCACTAGAACTCCAGGAAATACCTCTTGAAACCAGTCGCTAGTAAGCATATGTTGAGCAATATCAAAAGGGGTTTTTTGTGGATATTATAGTAGTTTTTTAATAGTTGAGATCATGAGTCAGTTGAAGCTAGACCACCATGGAAAACCTGGAACCACTGGAAGGCCATTTCGTCCTGTTGTGGGGCTCCTCAGCAGTGAGGGACCGTGGATGCGCAATGCTAAGGAGTCTCACAATAGGACGAAACGGCTGTCCAGTGGTTCCAGGTTTCCCATGGTGGTCTATCTTTAGTTGACTTATGATCTCAATCTTTAGACCATAAAGTTTGAAACCCGGTAATCCCCGTTTAAAAGTTTAACTAGTTGTTTGTAACACTGATGGCCACCTTACTCACTCCTGTTACTGCTCGTTGAGTGGGCATAGGCCGCCCATCAGCATTCTCCATCTAACACTGTCCTGAGCAATCCTTTCTAGTTGCTATTGACTTTTTTGAGGTCTGTTTTCTTATTCCCGACTGAGTGTGTTACTTGATCTTCCTCTTTTCCTTTCCCCTTCAGTATTCCAAATTAGCACTTGCATCGTGATGCAGTTTGATGATTTTTGAAATTTATGTCCTATCCACTTCCAACTTCTTTTCCTAATTTCTTCGACTGGAAGCTGGTTCGCTCTCTTCCACAGTAGGCTGTTGCTGATGGTATCCAGTCAACGGGCATTGAGTATCTTGTATACACAATTGTTTATAAATACTTGTACTTTTTTGATTATGTTTGTGATGATTCTCCAAGTTTTAGCTCCGTATAGTAGAACTTTCTTGAGGTTCATATTAAAGATTGTGACTTTGATGTAGGTTGACAGACAGTTGTTTTGAGTTCTATATGTTCTTCAACTGTAGGAATGCTGTCCTTAATTTGTCAATCCTCGCCTTTACGTCTGCATCGGATCCTCCTTGTTCATCGATGATTCTGTCCGAGTACATGAAAGTTTCCACCCCTTTCAGAACGTCTCTAGAAAGTGTGATTGGATCGGTGTTCTTCGTGTTGTATTTGAGGATCTTGGTTTTTTCTTTGTATATTTTGATGCCTACTTTTTTATTGCAGTTGCTTTACCGGTGTTCTGACGTGCATGTCTTGATATAGTGAGATAGAATGGCTAGATTAAGTCAACTGTAAAGTCTATATTAACTTGTTGCAATTAATCTGTAGATCGTATTCTGTGCTTTCCCTGGAGAAATAGAATTATCGAGAGTAAGCAACATTTTAAGGGGTCAATTATGTTCCCATAAATTAAATTGTTCGAAGCAGTTGTGACTCTCCATCTCAAATCCTTTTGAACGTTTTCGAAAGGGAGAATATGTGCTTTGCTCTCTATTGTCCCACCACATGTGCTTCTCCGAAACACTATCAAAAAATCTCACACTTGATCCATGTATCTTGAATGCGATTTAAAGCAACCTTTTACGGCGTTGGTCAATTATTATTTTTCGTTATTATCATTATTGCTAATTGCAGCTTTTGTTACGCGGTCTTCGCCGAACTAATTGTTATTTTTGTATATTCCGAACTTATCTCTTCATTCATAGGTTTTAATTCATTCCAAACCTGTTCACTTATTACGCAACCCATTTTAGGTGTGACAAATCCAGTCTGTCTGCAAGTCACACTAAAATTCTTAATTCGAATCCTACTAATTTTGATTGTTCTGATAATTATCTTATATTATCCTTATTTACTACTTCGAGTAACTCACGTCGAATTGGAAAACGATTATATCTATCCAGTGCTTCTTTTCACGAATTTATTGTTCGCACTAGCATTAATAAGTTCATCATTTCGGTTGGGAATTTGAAGTTATTATATTCCAGTGCTATAATTAAACCTATCAAAGTTTCTATTCCGAGTATTACATGTAATAAACTTCCTGTTCTTAGGTATTGCAATTTGCTGACTGAAGACGATAAATTTTCGGTCATAAGTTGTGGACTCTTACTTGTTGATCTTGAACCATCTAACCCAGGTCAAGAGAATTTAATGATGCTATAGTTACAGTCTTGTTGCTGACCACTAAAGACGGTTCTAATGAAATGTTTGATACCTTGGTAATCACACAATCAGAGTTCAGAGAAGTAAGCATTATTTTGTTGGCCTGTGTAAACTGCAAGAAATGTAAGGTGAATAAACAGGACGTATGACTCTTGAGCTCTTTCAAAGCACCCGACAGTTGTCTCGACTATGTCCACCTGAATTTGGTAGAACCCTTGCCACATTCAAATGGATAATGTTACCTTTCCACGTGTGTTGAGCGTTTCACATGATGGTCTGAAGCAGTACCCATCAAGAAAGTTACTGTTGAAACAGTGTCCCGCGCCTTTGTGGGACGGTTGCTAGCAAACTTCGACTGCCCTACAACTAACACTACAGAACATGCAAACCAGACCAAAGCTGGACTTTTCCTTTGCTTGACTAGGCTATTAGGAATCACGTGATTCCGAAAAAGCTTTTACCACTTACAAGCAATAGAAATAAAATAGAACGATAGTTTAAAGCTTCACGCTTAGCTAGAATCGTTTCGCCGTGGACGGACGCTCTTCTACTCGTTCTGCTCGGTATTTACAATGCATTTAAAGCTGGGACTGGATATACTGCAGTTCAACTCGCTTATGGAGCGATACTCTGACTTCCAGGATAAGCCGTGGATCCCTCATCTTCTTCAATGAACATGGAACTAAACTCCTGGGCGAATAGGCTTACAAACCCCATGAGATCAGCCAAACCTGTTTTCACTGTACTGCAGTCAACTGATGTTGTTGTCTACCCTGCCGTACGATAACGTACACACGTTTCTGTACATCGCAACTCAACAAAGTGACACACGAAGAATTCTTCAAAATACTTCAGCTCTAATAGCTTCGATAATAAAAGGAAGACAGCCAATTGTATATCACAATACTGTTTCTAGCACTATATTTTGTTTTATAATCACACATAATCCCGAATCGCCTCCATTTGTCAGTTGTATGTCCACTCACACCTTGTTAACGCTTATTTTCTTTAACCTATTAAAATGCTCTTTCCTAACAAATAGCTTAATAAAAGAAAATTAGACTGAGTCATCATACTTTAAACATTCCTTCATGAATATTGGCTACTCTGCCTCGTGTTTTCTTTTACTTGCTCCCTCTTTCAGCCTACT